GGTGGGACAAGGAGAGAGGAGAATTCTGGGAAGTGGAAGGGGGAGGGAGACACTGCCAGCTGCCACCATGACAAGCAGCATGTGAAGACGCCGGTAAGCCACAAGCCACGTGGCAAGGTATAGATTTATGGAAATGAATTAATTTAAGCTATAAGAACAGTTAGCAAGAAGTCTGCCACGGCCATACAGTTTGTAAGCAATATAAGTCTCTGTGTTTACTTGGTTGGGTCTGAGCGTCTGTGGGACTGGCAGGTGACAGAGATTTGTCCTGACTGTGGGCCAGGCAGGACCAGGAAAACTCTAGCTACAGTACAGAGTCTCCAAATCTCAGAAGCAGAATGAACTTTTTTTTTTTTTCCCAGAGCTGAGGACCGAACCCAGGGCCTTGTGCTTGCTAGGCAAGTGCTCTACCACTGAGCTAAATCCCCAACCCCAGCAGAATGAACTTTTTAAGAGATTGTTCTAGAAATGAGGGGAGCGCTCATGTTCTTCTGGGTTCTCCCTCCCTCACTTTGACCTTGACCGAACCCCCTGATTCTTTGCTTCCGTTTGATCTGTGCACTTGGTTTCTAACTCTTACCTGGGAACTAGACACTGGGAGGCCACAGGATTAATGTTTAATCCCAACTGCAAGATGGTTTTTGTACAAGTAGATGTTTGCACCACAGCCAGGGCCTGCGGGAGGAGGCGACTCTACACGGAGACCCGGGCAGGAATTCCAGGGCTTGTGAGTTCAACTGTCACTGAGGGTCAGAGTGTGGTCTGGGCTCACCTGGGGCTCCAGGTTCTGCACCGCTGTCTGAAAATCAGACAGAGAAAAAAAAACAAAGGCGCCATGTTTGCCCGGGTCAGCTGGAAAGGGGTCCAGCTGCAGCCTCCTCCAGTACGTCCAGGTTCGTCCCTGCAGGGAGCCCAACCTCAGATGTTCCCTTCCAAAACCCTCAAAAGCACACATTGTCTTCAATTTAAAACAAAAAAGTACTAATTAAAAATCATTATACGTTTCCTAACCAGATTAGAGTCTTCCCCGTGAACAGAGCCCACATCTCTTACACCTTTGGGGAGGCCAAGAGTAACCATTAGAGCCGCCAAGGAGCTGTGGGTCTAGATGCGCAGACTCTCTGAGCTTCTGGCTCCTCTGCTATGGAGTAGAAACAACAACTGAAGAATTTAAAAGAAACAAAAGGGTAAGCGCAAAGTCAGCTCCATAAAGACCACCGAGTTCTCTGCCGCCAAGTCAGATGAGCCTACAGCCCACTCCCATCCCCCCACCCCCACCCCCATCCCCACCCCGGCTCCCATCTCTCCATATCAAAGGAAGGAGGCCGGAACAGGGTTGCCCCCACAACAAAACAGGAGGCCTGGTTCCCCTGGCACCCATCAGTTGGTTCCTCTTTACCTTTAACAATGTGTGTGTGTGTGTGTGTGTGTGTGTGTGTGTGTGTGTGTGTGTGTGTAAGCCTGGGAAAATGACTGCAGCAGAATGACGTAATGAAAAGTGAAAAACACAACACGTTTTCATCTCCCTGTTTCCTGGAATGGAAGCAGTTTCTCTCCAAGACTTGAGTCCTCTCCTGTGAGACAGGAGCCTTGAGCATCACAGGGGGTGGGGGTGGGGGTGGGGGTAGACGGTGGGATGCAGATAAGATCCCCAATATACACAGTGACGTGAATGAAACAGAAGATAATTAGATGCTTCTGAAATACCTATGTGTCTTCTGAAAAACGGGAGAAAATGCCAGTCGAATGCAGCTGACAGATTGTATCTTGTTGCCTAGCACCAGCCTGGAGTGACTAGGTGTTGCTAGGCAACCCATCCTCCTGGGCTTGGTGATGCAGCAAACACTAGACAGATGCTTTGCCTCCCTTACCCTGTAGCCCTCACGACGTTCTCATCTGCAAGATTCACACCTGATTAATGTCTCCTAGGGACTTTTTTTTTTCCGTTCAGATAGGGCGCTGCGACGTGCAGGATTACCCGTGCTCAGGCAAGCCTGGCTGCTTGACTGAAGAAAACCTCACCAAAAAAAAAAAAAAAAAAAAAAAAAAAAAGGTCCTCTAAAGACTAACCTGCCACGCTGAGATGGGAGCCTGGGCTCCAGAGTGGAGGGCTGAATCATTTCTCCCAGAAGTTACCAAATGGCCATCGGCACCAAAGGCAGGTTAGCCTGGTAGTTATTAGAGTGCCCTGAGCCAGAATGCGGCGTGACCAGGTTTATTGCCATCGCCCTAAACCTTTGGGGGAGACAGGTGTTCCTCTCCGGCAGGGAGCTTCCTGTAACTGATGATGAGGTGTCTGGGTTCACAGGAAGAGCCCAAGGTAAAGAGAAATGACCGACAATGCCCTCCTCTTATGCAAGGAATTTCAAAATAAGAGGGAAAAAAAACATAATTTGTATTCTGCCTTCCTTCTGTGGGTTCCTGTTTGCTTACCACAAAGTCTAGCGTGGATGTGAGGGCCTGCTTAGCCAGGCTTTGTAATAACTCTGACTTTCCAAGAAGCTCTAGTGATGAAAAGATATAGCCACATCAAACGAACATCGCTGGTGTGCAAGAGAGAGCCGAGCTCGGCTTGGAGCAGGGGCCAGGTGTGTGGCGACCCCTGCGTTAGCAGGCAGCCGTTTTCCTTCTGACCAGGGCATGCCTCTGTCTGCCCTCCGGCTCCCCTGCTGTCCGCAAGCTCTCTACGCATTCCCGGGCCTCACGCCGCTTCAACGCATACAAGTTAGTGTGCCACTTTAGAAGAGAGCTGCAGAACCCAAGGAGAGAGAGAGAGAGCTTCTCATGCCAGAAGCTCAGTTGCCAACGAAATGAAACT